ATATATATGACTGATGTATAAGAACTGGTTGATAAATGAAATATAGCGGGTGGACAGATGAAATATCAACTGATTGATGAATCAACGGAACTTTCTTCAACCAAACAAAATCAATTTGTCCTGTCATCAAGCGACAAGATATTCTAGTAGTTTATTCATTAATGTTAAATAATGGTGATTTCTTGTTGAATGCCTAAATTAAATAATATTTTGTTCTGGTTGGACCGGATTTTTGAGTCTGGAAATGATCTATTGTATCCCTGGGGCGACCTGGAGAGAAACAGAAGCGTCTTCAAACAATTCAAGGAATCATCAGGAAACCACAAACCGTACACTAGATAGATAGATAGATAGATAGATAGATAGATAGATAGATAGATAGATAGATAGATAGATAGATAGGTAGATAGATAGATAGGTAGATAGATAGATATGTAGATAGGTAGATAGGTAGATAGGTAGAAAGGTAGAAAGGTAGATAGGTAGATAGGTAGAAAGGTAGATAGATAGATAGGTAGATAGATAGATAGGTAGATAGATAGATAGGTAGATAGGTAGATAGGTAGATAGATAGATAAGTAGATAGACAGATAGGTAGATAGGTAGATAGGTAGAAAGGTAGATAGATAGATAGATAGGTAGATAGATAGATAGGTAGATAGGTAGATAGATAGATAGGTAGATAGGTAGATAGGTAGATAGGTAGATAGGTATATAAATAGATAGGTAGATAGGTAGATATACAGGTAGAAAAGGGTATATAGGTAGGTAGATAAGTAGTCAAGCCTGTAGGTAGATATGTAGATATGTAGATATAGGTTGTTTGGAATACAGGTAGGTAGGTAAGTAGGTAGAAAAGAAGAAAAGAAAAAAACCAGAAAGGTAGATAGGTAGAAAACATGAAATATAGTTAACAAGAAAGGTATATAACACGAATGGTAGATACCTAAAAAAGTAGAGAACAAGAAAGGTAAAGAACAAGAAAGGTAGTTAACAAAAAAGGTGCATAACAAGAAAGGTAGATAACAAGAAAGGCAGATAAAAAAAAGGTAGATAACAAGAAAAGTAGATAACAAGAAAGGTAGATAACAAAAAAAGTAGAAAACATGAAAGGTAAATATCAACAGAGGTAGATAACAAAAAAATAGATAACAAGAAAGGTAGATAACAAAAAAAGTAGATAACATGAAAGGTAGATAACAAAAAAGTAGATAACAAGAAGGTAGATAACAATAAAGGCATAGAAAGGTACATCAGAAGAAAAGTAGAAAAGCAGAAAATTAAAACTTTGGTAAAAAAATAAAACATTGGACATATTTTTTACGAAGTCAACGCGAAACAGACTTCATCAACACTGAGAGAATTAGAAAAGAAATAGATGACCAACACCATTAGTCCACTCTACCTCTTCAGACAAAGCATCTTAGATAAATACATTAACCATTCAACCTCTAATGAAGGATTATGTTTATTCACGAATGCAATTCTAAAAGCGTACGTACTCCCCTTCCCCTTGCACCTTTCTCCGCGTATTCCCCTTCCCCTTGCACCTTTCTCTCATCTATTACTTTTTTTCATCCCTCCCCATCTCCCTGTCAATCCCCCCCCCCCTCCCTGTCAATTCCCTCCCCCCTGGGAATAGATAAAGGGAGTTTAGGATTATAGCTTTATTATCTCATATTCTTAGATTTACACTTCCATATCTTTCATCCACTGAAAACTCAGGTTCATTCGAAGTACCGGAGTTCCTTTTAGGCACCTAATTTAATTTGTACAGTACTTATAAAGACTTAAGACGTCAATATGAGATTGTACACGTATTGAATCATCTCCTTCTACAGTGAGAATAGTGTGCCCCTCCCAAACCCAGAGATCCTAAACGTTGATGTATATAAAATCTAGCAGACCGAAGAGGTTTCGATCTTTTTCACACTTTGAGAGAAATTTGTGTCATTCACATAGTCCTCCCGAATGGTAATCTAAACCGAGTCTTTCTAATCGAAAAGAAATTATTGGAATTTAACCTCAATCTGTAGATAATTACGAAGTAACACCCATCTCAAAACGGAAAAAATGATATTTCTGTTTCGTCTCAGTAATGGAATTATATCTTTAAATAAAAGAATAAAAGGAATACTAATTAGAAATATTAGTCAGAGATTTTATATAAATGCATGAATCATCACAAACAGATAAGGATCGAGAGGCAAAAAAAACACCTGAACTTATTCGAAATGCATTGACAAACAAATTAGAACAAAAATCTGGAAGGATCATTGTCGGGGCCGTGCTATTCCAGTTTTTTCCGGAACCCCCCCCCCCCCTCCTTCTTTTGAAAAAGAACAACTTTCAATCCTAATTATACTATTCCAGGTTATACGGTAGATATATATTCACAGTAGGTTGCTTTTTTTCAAAAGGCATGAGGCATTTTTAGGAAAACCTCTAACGTAAAAGCCTCCAGCGAGGGGAGGAAGGCCAGCCACAACAATTTCTCGTCCAAGCCACATTCTCCTCATTTTCTCGTCCGATCCACCTCGGAATCCTCGTCCTTCGATTATTTTGTGTTAAAAGGTTTCCAATTCTTGAAGATAAAACTATTTTTTAAAAATCTGGCCACGTTAGGGCATAAAATATGGATGTCAAACTTTATTTAGGTAAAGCTTAAATCTCATCTGCCTCCGTTATGACTAACCTTTGTGATATCAAATAAATGGCAAAATATTCGGCATACCTCTGCCTATAATTTTCCCCATGGAACCACCCGAAAAATTTCTATGGTTTTCACTTATAGTTAACAAAAAAGATTGAAGTTCTATAAACTTGGAATTATTTGCGGCATTCTACACCAGGAATATCTGAAAAATGCGCGTAAAAAAGGTGAACATTTTTAAAGACATTAAACTTGAAATCTTTAATTCAATTGAAACTTTTTTTTCGGTTTACAAAAATTTGATATTTTATTTATTCCCTAAGGTGGCCCGATTCTTTAAAAATAGTTTTATCTGGAAGGATTAGACAAAAATAATATTGAAAGGACGAGGATTTCGAGGTGGCTCTGACGAAAAAATGACGTGAATAAATAATGACATGGATAGCAGCAGACAACATTTAAAGTTATTTCTAGAAAATCAAGATTATAATGACTTTACAATTACATAGATAGAGATAAAGATAAATAGACAGATATATATATATATATAGTTAATCAGATAGATAGATAGATATGTATAGTTAATCAGATAGATAGATGGGTAGATTTTTTAGAGTATACATTCTAAAAGATCGACGAAGATTGTGAAAAAGGCCTGCTGAGGTGCGATTTTACTATAATAGTTGGATTGAAACTTTTGCAGGAGCACTTGGTTAGGGGAAGCAATAGGTGATAGATAGATAGATAGATAGATAGATAGATAGATAGATAGATAGATAGATAGATAGATAGATAGATAGATAGATAGATAGATAGATAGATAGATAGATTTTTTTATTTGAAGAAAGTAGCAACAATATATCCCATAAAATCAGAAATTTTATCAAATGAATGAAGTAAGAAAATGAGTTCACTGCAGACTAAGGAGCGTCCTAGCTATGTAATCAATTGAATAAACCAATCTATATAATCAAACTTTAACAATTATATACTTGGTAATTTATACTCATATCATTGCAGGGCGTAATTACTTGACTGCCTGAATGGAAGAGAAGATGTGGAGGGGGATGGGGAGGGGGGGCGGATTGAGATGCAGGTGTATGATTAGGGTAGATTTGATTTAGGGGAAGGCGTCCCTTGATTTCAATTCATCCCATTCATCGTAGTATAATATCAGTCATTTTTCATCTTGGCGCTAAACTTGATTGACAGGTTCATAATCTCATGTCTATCCTGTCTATCTTGTCTATTCTGTCTATCCTGTCAATTCTGTCCATCCTGTCCATCCTGTCTATCTTGTCTATCCTGTCTATCTTGTCTATTCTGTCTATCCTGTCAATTCTGTCTATCCTGTCCATCCTGTATATCCGGTCTATCCTGTCTATCCTGTCTATCCTGTCTATCCTGTCTATCCTGTCTATCCTGTCTATCCTGTCCATCCTGTCTATCCTGTCCATCCTGTATATTCTGTCTATCCTGTCTATCCAGTCAATCCTGTCCATCCAGTCTAACCTGTCTAACCTGTCTAACCTGTCTATCCTGTCTATCCTGTCTATCATGTCTATCCTGTTTGTCCTGTCTATCCTGTCTATCCTGTCTATCCTGTCTATCCTGTCCATCCTGTATATCCTGTCTATCCTGTCTATCCTGTCAATCCTGTCTATCCTGTCTATCCTGTCTATCCTGTCTATCCTGTCTATCCTGTCTATCCTGTCTATCCTGTCTATCCTGGCTATACTGTCTATCCTTCTATCCGGTCTATCCTGTCTATCCTGTCTATCCTGTCTATCTTTGTTAATAATATGGTATTCATGTATCTATCTATCTATTGATGACCTCCATTCAGCCTCTGAGCCTCTAATGTAGAAGACGGCGTGGAACCGGAACCGGAAATTTACTTGAGGGCAGCGTGATACCATGGATACCTTGTTAGTACCAGGGGTATATATAGATACCATGGATACCTTGTTAGTACAAGGGGTATATATAGATACCATGGATACCTTGTTATTACCAGGGGTATATATAGATACCATGGAAACCTGGTTAATACCAGGGTATATTTGGATACCATGGATACCTTGTTAGTACCAGGGGTATATATAGATACCATGGATACCTTGTTAGTACCAGGGTATATATGAATACCACGGAGATTAAAGATCTAGGCAAAGTTTAGCACTAAAGCTAGTTCATCTCTAAAACACTTGCTAAAGTATAAGTCCGTCTAGCTATTGTTTACTCTTTTGCATTAGATAAATTGAAAGTATTTGCAATCTAATGCAAGAATATTAACATGTGTTCCAGGAGCCTGTATATAAAACAGGTAAGGTTTAGATCAGTCAATAGAAAATATGAAAGGATTACTTTGTCTTGTTTTCATCTCTCTTGCTAGAACTTCACAACAGGTATTTATAGTTTAGTAGTTTACTAATTGTTAATACTTATTAGTGTTAATCAAGTAGGAGTGATACTTAAACAACTCAAATAGGATTTTTGGATAATCTTGATCTGGATTTCCAATGTTGGCACTTTTAAAGTCTTTGCTACAAACTCAGATTTGTAAGCCCTAGATCTATGTAACCTAATGTTGTAAAACTTATTATTTCAAATTATAGACTCATGTTGCAAAGATATATTGATTAGGAAATGACAATTTTGACGAAGACAATTGTAAGTTATCCTTATTGGGTATGAACACAATGACGGGATATTAAAAAGGAATTAAATTGATCTTGATATCCAATGTGGGCACTCTTTAATTTTAGAATGAGCAATTAATCCGTATGCCCACTATGGGATATCAAAGAGAAATTAAATTAATTAAATTAATCTGCATAAGATGGATATCAGCCCATACTTAAAGCTACAGTAAGCATAATTTAATGTGACCATCGACACAAAGATGGCAATAATGTGGAAGATATTGTCGACTTCTAAGTTTAAAACTGTCAAATTTTGTTCCTTCATGTTTTCCTGCCATGCAGTATAAATGCGCAAATGTTCCTTTTGTAAAAACTAAAACTGAAAATAATCAGTCTTTTAAATTATAAACATTCTTCTTCTCAAATACTTTATTATACAGCAAAATAAACAAAATCTTATAAAATTATAAAATTATAAAGTGGCTTGGTCACCCTATATATTTTGATAAGATAACAAACTTGATGATTATATATTCAATTAAAAAAAACGAGAAATAATACTTTTAAGAAATCAACAAAAATTATGGATTTATAAATTATAAACATTAATATATAATTCAGTTTTGATCAGACTAAGCTTTACAATCGGGCAGTGCCTTCTTTGCATGAAGGGTCACTTGAAATTTCGCTTACAGTCTCTTTAATCCTGAGCTTCACAATACAAAAGTTTTGACTTATGCTCATTTTCTGAATTTTTTTTTGAAACTTTTCTGTGGTTCAGGGTCAACTTCTGAGATTGATGCCAGATGTGGATGAAGCTGAAGTTAAGGAATGTAGAAAAGAGACAATATCAAGGTATTGAAGGCCCATAGCTATCATACAATTGAAAACTCATATAACTAATACATCCATGCACGAACAATTTTTGTTTAGACATATTCACGATTTTTAACCGTTTTGGTTCGTTTTTTAAAAACTTTGGATAAAAATTTTAACATTTCAAAACTTTTGTTAACTTTTAAACCATTTTTATCCTGAAAAAAAGAAAAACGATGTTTTTGATTCGTTATTGGTTCGTTATTGGTTTGTTTTTAGTTCGTTTTTGGTTTGTATTTGGTTCGTTATTGGTTCGTTTTTGGTTCGTTTTTGGTACGTTTTTGGTACGTTTTTGGTTCGTTTTTGGTTCGTTTTTGGTTAATATTTGGTTTGTATTTTGTTTGTATTTTTTTTGAATTTGGTTCTATATTGGTTCGTTTTTGATTCGTTTTTTTTGCATATATTTTCTCTCTGAAAATATGGTATAGTGTAAGAAACTTAATGTATAGAATAAACAAAACTTCTCAAATTTGTGTGTACTGTAGTCTGTGTACTGTGTAACCCTTTAAGTCCAAAACCCCTCAAAAACCAAGCACAAACGAACCGAATCAACTCATTGTACATCATTAAAGATATTGAATCTTTTCTGGTTTTTAATTGTCAAAAATCCCTAGTGTTTCATGACTCCACTTTAATAACTGTAACTGTTCTAAAAGAAAGAGCCTTTTCGCCTTTCTAGCAAAAAGGCTACTATGATTTTAATCTTTGAAAATTGTTGATTAGCTGCACGGTTGTTATGATCAATACAACAGTGTTTGAAGATGGTGAACTCATTTTTCCAAATGGTGAAGTTTTTACCAAATCTGGAATCCTTCAGGAACCAAAAACCAGGTGATACAATTAAATGCATCTCACGTCAAACTTAAGTAAGTTATTAAAGAACTATCAAGAAGAATAAAAACCTACTTAAAAAATCAACTTTTTTTATTTAATAAGTGAAAATAATTAGAAATAGTTTTATCTTTTTATAAAGAACTAAGTATACAAACCCATATTGATAATTCAAACTATCATTTTATTCAGGCCTGGTATTCTTGATCAAGCCCTTTCCATTGTATATGAAAACAATGATGAATCAGAAGCAATCTTCAGTATTAGGTAATCTAGGAATTAAATATTATAAATTCTAAAATATCACAGGTTTACACCGTCAGGCTGCAAAACAATAAAGATTAGAAAATTTGAGTTTGTGTCAAAAACTCAATTCCTTTTTGTTATAGGTCAGGTATGGTTTATGGAAGTCTTGACGGAAGAAACATTATTCAGCCCTGTTCTCTTTTTGCGGGATGTCATCTGTACAGAGTAATAACATTTTATCAAAGTTTTGAAAATTTAACTTTTATTTTTGATATTTGTAGGGATATGAGGAGAAAGAAGATGAGAAAGATAGAGATTGTATAAATGAAAGCGTTGAGCAGAATCTGATAGACAGGTTAAGATTTTACAACCTTTTGACCAACATTACCGATGATTAAACCCGACAAACCGAGACGGACGTTAAGTTACTTAACGCCCCTTAACAACGATGTTAGGCACTTTCCCAAAGAATTTTCCCCAAGGTATTTTCCCAAGTGGCAACTTCCCAAATCTGCAATTTTCCAATCGACAACTTCCCAAGTCTGTCCTAGCCGCAGCACTCGGCCCCCAGTCTGTTCTAGCCGCGTCACTCGGCCCCCTAGCTCATCGTAGCTGCAGTGCTCGGCCCCCATTGCAGTCTGCGGCGCCTCAGAGGGCCTAACCTAACCTTTGGGAAGTTGCCGCTTGGGGAATTGCACATTTGAGAAGTTGCCACTCGGGAAAAATTCTTTGGGAACCCTTGGTAAAGTGAAATTCCTTTAACTGTCCTATAAAGTATCTAGCTGTCCTATAAAGTATCTAGCTGTCCTATAAAGTATCTAGCTGTAAATAATTATTAAAAAATGTTAAAAACTAACTTTATTGAGTATTTAATATTTTCTCAGGACTATAGTGTATTCTGCTAACCAATACAAACTACGTGAAAAGGGTATTCTTGATAACACTACGATGGTAGAATTCTCGGTCAAATTCTATTATACTCAAGCATTTGGAAGAGAAGTGGAAGAGAAAGAACTTTTCTTCGACAATGTAAGTAAGCATATTCAGCTGTCCCCTAATTTTAAGTACAACATACAATGGAACTAGTTAGACCCAAATCTGATAAAAATGTGGAAGATATAGCCGTTTTTCTAAACTTTTAGGTGTCTTTTTATCATTTCTCCATTTTCTCTAATGCAAGAAATACACAGGTCAATTTTTTTGAGGAAAAGACAAATGAAAATAATCAATTTCAAATGAAAGCTTGGAAGGTTTCTGGAAATTCCATTTTAAGTCTTTTTAAAGAAAATTAGTTTACATTCCTTTAGTATTTTTCAGATAATCTGTTTACATTGCTTTTGTATTTTTTCACCAGGCGGTCGCTGAAGCCAACAAGGCATATCAGAACAGCAAGATTCCACTCAGGATGACAATCTTTTGCATTGAACCCATCGATATCAAGTACGTGGAAATTTTTTACAAAATGCTGTATTTTACCTTAAACCAAATTTAATGCTGGCGTCGCTGAACCACCTACGGTTTAAATGTGAACCACCGATTCATAGTTAAAGATTCAGGAAGGATTTAAATTGCTGGTTCAAATTTGAACCGGGTTTCGGCAGTTCAAATTCATTAGATTTGGTCTCTGGTTCTTATTTTTGAATCTACATTAGTTAATCCTCTTGGAGGCGTCTATTTTATTGAGTCCAACTTAGGGCATTAGTTTTTTTGCCATTAGGGATGCAGGGGGAAAACAAGTTAAGAAGTTTGTGTATTTATAGAGATGAGAACTCTTTGAGTGCCATACATGACGAATTCACGAATTTCTACAAGTCTGGCAGCAACAAGAAAGATTTTGCAACACTACGAGGAGGGGCTGATGCTACTGTTCTTTATACTTATAATAAAGATTACAATAAATGTGGAACCGGAGGCTTGGGGGGTTGGAGGTAATCAGCTTTATACACCTTTGGGGGTTGGAAGTAATCAGCTTTATACACCTTTGGGGGTTGGAGGTAATCAGCTTTATACACCTTGGGGGTTGAAGGTAATCAGCTTTATACACCTTTGGGGGTTGGAGGTAATCAGCTTTATACACCTTCTCTTGGGGCAACTGTAGGCAGGTTTGCAGCAGCCATTATTTTCTCCTGCTCAACAGCTCGAACTTTATTCTTCACAAACCTATTTCCATGGGCATGGTCGGGTTTAACGGACTTAATTATCCCAGATTCATCGATAAGAATGGCTCTAGCATCGCATTTTTCAGCAATCTTATCCCGACACCTCAAATAGCTTACACCCGTCTTCTTGTTTACACTTGTCTTCTTGTAATGATATCCCTGTTCATCTACAATGATCCTACCACCTTGTTTTGCAGCAACAAATGTTGCCAACCCGACCATTATGGAAGCCAGAATCAGACTAAAGTTTTAAATCTTCAAAAAGGTTTTGCGGATTTTTGGGATTAAAAATGCGAGTTTCCTGTGATTTAAATCAAAAAATATTTTTATCATTTTGACCTTTTGTCGTTTGACCCTTTGTCGTACTTTTGACCCTTTGTCGTTTGACCCTTTGTCGTTTGACCCTTTGTCGTTTGACCCAGTGTCGTTTGACCCTGGGTCGTTTGACCCTTTGTCGGTGAATCAACATATGGGGTTGGAGGTAGACAGTTTATACATCATATGGGGTTGGAGGTAGACAGTTTATACATCATATGGGGTTGGAGGTAGCCAGTTTATACATCATATGGGGTTGGAGGTAGCCAGTTTATACATCATATGGGGTTGGAGGTAGCCAGTTTATACATCAAATGGGGTTGGAGGTAGACAGTTTATACATCATAGGAGGGTTGTAGATAGTTTGTTAATACATCATATGGGGTTGGAGGTAGACAGTTTATACAACTATTAAACATAATTCTTGATTCTAGTATCACATAATTTAGATATGGGGCTACTACAGTTGCAATTCAATTAGGCTGTCTAAGTAAACAATACGTTTTGGCGCATGAAGTCGGGCACAACTTTGGATGTCAACATGAAGAGTAAATATTAAAAAAAAATAATAAAAATGAAAAAAATGTTAATTAAAAAAATGATTAAGAAGCAACGGTGACGACAATGTTAATGGTTTTGAATACGGTCATGGAACTTTTATTGAAGGAACAGGGAGGAGGTGAATGCATTTATTTATTTTCTTTGAACATTTGATTATTATTTATTATTTTCCCTAGAACAATAATGTGTCACTCTAAACCTGGATACAGATCCAAAGCAAACTTCTTCAGTGGACCTCAGCTATCTTATCAGGTTAAGCTGTGCAGGACCGAATTTTATTTATTGGAGGGGTTGCTGAACTACCTATCACCGGTTCAAATACTGAATTATCGATGCAAATCCTCATGAATTTTTAAGTTTGAATCGGTGGTTCAAATTTGAACCGGCAGTAGACAGTAAGCAATTCAGCTCTACTTCATTACATTTGATCCCCATAGGACCAGATTTAATGAATAACGAGACATGATTGAACCGGATAGACGTAGTTCAACCAATTCTCTTAGTTAAACCAGCCCACAAGATAAGTGGTTCAAATACGTCTGCGCAGTTCAGCTATACTTTATTAAATCTGGGTCCATGAACTAACAGGCTAATCTAATGACGACAACAACAACAATACTGACAGACTTGCGCAGTTGTGTCTCAAATAAAACCTAATTTTAGCATATCCTTAAACAAAATTGCAGCAAAAAAACACAAATATGTCGCTGACATAATCGAGAAATTGATAAGGTTTCTTAACGTTGTCTTGTTGAAAATATCATGATAATTTTCATTATGCTAATGCATTTTTGGTGTCAACAGAGTCACAGATACTGTATACGTAATTTCAAGGAATCCTTAAGCTTTGATTGAACAATTTTGATATCAAAGTTCACTGTTTTTTATAACCAATTATTTTCAATTGGGATTTCTCTTCAAAAGTGGCTTGCGCATTTCTATTGCTGGAAAACATAAATGAATTATTTAGATTCCGCACAATTTTAACATAGAAAAACGACAATATTTAGCTTATTTTTTAATAAAAAAAATGTGAAGTTAAAAACTGAAATATATTTATATATATATATATATAGTATTTTCAACTTTTTTAGTTTAAATATACATTTTAGATGTTTAAATATATATTTCTTCCAAGACAAAATGTTTCATGGGTCTAACCCAATCATCAGTTGGAATAAATAATATAATATGTATATATATATATATATATATATATATTTATATAGTCCCTTTAATGGAATCTTAAATGAACAATATAACATGCTACGATGTACATAGGGAGTTCCAACTGGAGGCGCTTTTTATGATAACGCCAGGGTGATTCGTGAGAACAGGTTTGCCATGGCTGCTATTGCAGATGAGGTTGGAACCTGTAACAGTATTCCAGTAGGTAAACTTTTGATTTAAATCTTAAAAACAGACGAATTATCTGATGCTTTCAATATTTTCAGGTCACAATTGAAATCTGGATTTGGCGAAAAAATAGTTTGGACGAATGAGAAATTTTTGTTTAACATAATGTCAAAATAAGTTTAGTATTTCAAATCAATAAATTTCAGATTAAAAGCAAATAATGTTAGTGTACTGATTTAAAGATTAAGAGTACATTTTAATTGTTTACATAGTTGAATCAACAAGTTTTATTAAATAATTGAAATTGTTGTCCATAAATTTTGAAATTTAAAAAAAATATTTAACAGGCATATTTTTATTAACGTTTTGCCTGTGCTGCTAAGCCAAGGTGCAAGCGTCAGAAAGATTAAAAAACAGTAAAAATTTATATTTTTCAGGTTTCCATTATGATGGAAATATACAACTAATTAAATCATATTAGTGTTTTTTTTTTGCAATTAAAACTCTGAAAAAGTTTATCAAATTATAATTTAATTTTTAAGATTTGAATTGGGTACATACAAAATCAACCTTCTTCTATAATTTATAATGTTTAAACTTTGCTTGTCTTTTTTTTGTATCCAAAAAACTTCAAAACGACTGAACCGATCGGGCCGAATTTTTTGCGACAACTCACATGGCCCTAGAAAAGGTTTAAGCTGATGGAAGTTGATAAATTTTGCCTGGCAAATCCGCGAATATTTTAGAAAAATTTAGATCATCGAATTTTAGAGAAAAAGTTAAAAAGCTAAAAAATGTATGAAAGGGGGTGTAAAGCGTCCTAAAAGCCTAGCAAATAAGAGCAATACAAAAAGCACTAGTATATTGTGGATGAATACTGAATAAAGTATGAGTTTATTCTCCCTGGATTGTTGAGGGTAGCAGGACTACAGGAGGATTTAGAGATCAGCCACAGAGATATAGGAATTAACTCAGTGCCAGATACTGATATATAAATCAAATACAAATATATCCTATCCTAGGATATAGAGATATACTTCATATTCACTCAATTCATCAAGCATCAGATACTGATATATAGATCAAATACAAATATATAGATGGGTTTGGTTGCAGAATAGATGGGTTTGGTTGCAGAAAAGATGGGTTTGGTTGTAGAATAGATGGGTTTGGTTGCAGAATAGATGGGTTTGGTTGCAGAATAGAGGGGTTTGGTTGCAAAATAGATGATTTTGGTTGCAGAATAGATGGGTTTGGTTGCAGAATAGAGGGGATTGGTTGTAGAAAAGATGGGTTTGGTTGCAGAATAGATGGGTTTGGTTGCAAAATAAATGGGTTTGGTTGCAGAATAGATGGTTTGGTTGTAGAATAGATAGGTTTGGTTGCAGAATAAATGGGTTTGGTTGCAGAATAGATGGGGTTGGTTGCAAAATAGATGGGGTTGGTTGCAAAATAGATGGGGTTGGTTGTAGAAAAGATTAGTTTGGTTGCAAAATAGATGGGGTTGATTGCAGAATAGATGAGTTTGGTTGTAGAATAGATGGGTTTGGTTGCAAAGTAGATGTGTTTGTTGCAGAATGGATGAGTTTGGTTGCAGAATAGATGTGGTTGGTTGCAAAATAGAGGGTTTGGTTGCAGAATAGAGGGGTTTGGTTGCAGAATAGATGGGTTTGGTTGCAGAATAGAGGGGTTTGGTTGCAGAATAAATGTGTTTGGTTTCAAAATAGATGGGGTTGGTTGTAGAAAAGATGAGTTTGGTTGTAGAATAGATGGGTTTGGTTGTAGAATAGATGGGGTTGGTTGCAAAGTAGATGTGTTTGTTGCAGAATGGATGAGTTTGGTTGCAGAATAGATGTGGTTGGTTGCAAAATAGATGGGTTTGGTTGCAGAATAGAGGGGTTTGGTTGCAGAATAGATGGGTTTGGTTGCAGAATAGATGGGTTTGGTTGCAGAATAGATGGGTTTGGTTGCAGAATAGATGGGTTTAGTTGCAGAATAGATCGGTTTGGTTGTAGAATAGATGGGTTTGGTTGCAGTGCTCGAGGCCTGGCATAAATTGTATTTAATGAAATCTTGGATATAAATGATCTGAAGCTAAACCGCAGGTATTCAACTTCAACCCCAACACATTAGCTGATCAGAGTCAGAATTTAATGAATTTTAGCCGTGTCTCAAATTTGAAAAAATTATTTGTCTGTTTATCTGTCTATCTGCAACCTTTGTTTCTTGTTCTCAAGTTTAAAATGAAAGAAAAAGAAAATAAAAAGCGTATTTCTTAACTTCACTCCTTAAAAAGCGTATTTCTTAACTTCACTCCTTAAAAAGCGTATTTCTTAACTTCACTCCTTAAAAAGGGAGCAATTTTATCCCTCTGTTTTTCCGCCTAAGGGTGTTTTGTTGGTTCTGTTTTCCTTCGTTAATAGTTTATCAATGGAATCCACATGTTTTAACTTGTTTTTCTGAATTCAACCCCTCTTCTGGGGCTAGAGGTTAAATACATAAAAATAACCATGTAGAAAATGTGGAGTTTATAAAGCGTATTATTAGAATTTGTAGGATATTTAAAAATGTTAAAAGTAAAAAATTATTAGATTTAACTGATTGTTTAAAAGTGGGATACAGATAGTTTTTTTTCTTTATTTCTTAGAAGTTTAAAACATTGTCCCCCCATTTTTAGGGAATTAAGGATCTAATATTTCCAACGATTTTTCTGCTGATTTCTGTTTGTACGAAGATCTGGCAGTTTCTCAGGTCTCCAGGGGCACTTTTTAGTCCCTTGAGACCTCTGTGTTAGAATTACCAGCACATTTAGATCCTCTCCCCAACCCCTGGCCTCTCCCCCCCCCTACCCTCCACATCTTCCAGCCCTTCCCACTCTTTATACCTCCACTACTATATACCCCTCCATCCCTCCAATACTCTAGCTTTGTTAAACCCTGCATACCTCCACTATTATATACCCTCCATCCCTCCAATACCTTAGCTTTGATAAACCCCTCCAGTCCTCCGATACTCTAGCTTAAATAAACCCCTCCAGCCCTACAATACTCTAGCATTGATAAACCCCTCCATCCCTCAACTACTCTAGCTTTGATAAACTCTCCTCTTAGAGCCATGCCTTACCAATTCTATTTCAAAACTAGAGACATGGCTAAACCGCCTACTGTCGGTTCAAACTTGAATTACCGATTCAAATTCTTCCTTCATCTTTAACTTTGAATCGGCGGTTCAAATTTGAACCGGCAGTAGATAGTTCAGCGACACAGCTCAAATTCTTTAAATACGGTCCCAGGTTAGTTATTTTTTTCTCGACTCTCTTTTTGCCCCTTTCTTTGCCGAATACCCTAACCTCTCCGACAACCTTCCGACCTCTCAACTTCCCCCCTCCTTAATTTTTACTGTTCTACAAACCTTAAACTTATGAAAACAGCTCCCTAGTTCCCCTACTCAGGATCGACCCTGAAAATAGTAAACAGGGGGAACAGGGACCTATATATAAATCCTTGTTTAGGTTTAGGTTTAAAATCCTATTTGAAGACAACATAGTAAGATCGATATTTTGCATGAACATTAAAAGAGACTAAAAGGCGTAATTTCAAGTGAGCCTCCAGTTGTAGAGAGGTGTGTTCGCTGCACAACAGTACTCTTTAAACCTTTCATTAATCATGGATAACAGACTTATTCGTATTTTACAGAAATAAAGATATTTCAATCAAATTTTTCTACTCCTTGCCCCCCCCCCTTCCCAACGCCGGTCTCCCCCTCCCTTTTCAATAAATGCATGGAATGTGTTCCATGTATGGTGTGAAAATCCTCAACTTTATGATGAATATCTTCCATTTATAGAATATACTTAATCAGACATAGATTAAATATAACATAGAACTTTTTCCAGTTAACTGCATGGATTAAATACAAAAAAAAACTTATTGCGGTAAACGACGTAAATTAAATACAACATACAACTTATTCCAGTTTACGACATGGATTAAATACAAAGTAAAACTTATTCCAGTTTACGACATAGATTAAATACAACATGCAACTTATTCCAGTTTACGACATAGATTAAATACAACAAACAACTTATTCCAGTTTCAGACATAGATTAAATGTAACATAGAACTTATTCCAGTTTACGACATAGATTAAATATATCATAGAACTTATTCCAGTTTACAACATAGATTGAATGCAACATAGAACTTATTCCAGTTTAAGACATAGATTAAATACAACATAAAACTTATTCCAGTTTCAGACATAGATTAAATGTAACATAGAACTTATTCCAGTTTAAGACATAGATTAAATAAACCAAAAATGTACTTCATTTATAGATGAAATATGTAAAAAACTATGGATAAAATATATCAAAGATATTATTCGATTTTTGAAAATATTTTACAAAACATAGGGTTGTATATATCAAAGGCATTGTTCCAGTTATAAAATCAAATTATTAAGACATAGATTAAATATAAAACAGACTTTACCCCATGAATAGATTTAACTCAAATCACTAAAACAAAGCATAAAAATATTACAGATTTATAGAATATAGTGAATAAAACATAGAATAAATATATCAAAGCTTTATTTGATAGCCGAATAAAAGTATGAATACAAAATTAACCATCTTGAATAAATTCAAGATAGAAAATAGAAAATTGACTTTTCTCTAATGGTTAATCGAAAAGGTGTTAAATTCGGTTGACCCCTACCCCCCCCCCTCCCCGCCTACCCCCTTCCAATATAGGGTTAGTTAACCCGATGTATAGTAGCGTGTGCTGACTGTTTAAAATGTAAACAAAGCTGGGTCGGTGTGTAAACAAACATATCATTTCACATATACTGATTAGTAAACATATCATAGATAACTGTCAGTAGATCATTATTATTATTATTTAATCACTTTTATTTTCCTATTATCATTTCAATTTTTTTATTGTGGACTTCTTTTTCGAACAGAAGCTCATTTTAAAGGGACCGTTCGCAAAAAAGGGGGTATAGGCTGATTTAAAATTGAATTGCATATTAGATAAAAGTAAATTAGTAGCGATCGATATCAAATTCAATTCGGGATCATCATATACTCCATTTCATTTTTTGCGCACACTCCC